CTTCCGAGGAACAAAGCCATGTTGACCATTGTTAATCTGTTCGAAAACGTGGTCTTTGATCTTATTGAACACGCATCTTTCCAATGCTTTCGAGATAAGCGAAAGAAGCGAAATTGGTCGATAGTTTTCTACGTGCTCTTTGTTGTCTTTTTTGTGAACGGGAACAACATTTGCTAGTTTCCAGTCGCGTGGTAACACACCAGTGTTCAGAGATTTATTAAACAAGGCGGTTAGTGATGGAGCAATTTGGCGAGCTGTTTCTTTTAATAATCGTGCAGGAATCCCATCTGGACCTTGGGCTTTGTTAATGTCGAGGTTATGCAATACGGAGAAAACATCGGCTTCCGAAAGGGTAATGTCCTCGATGATAGTATTGTTAGACTGATATGGAAGAGCGTCAGAGCTGTAGTTTTCGATATTTGTATCGGTGGTAAATATAGATGTGAAGTAGTTGTTGAACAGCGCAGCAATATCTGCTGGATTTCCTGCGGATGTTCTTTTGGTTTCAGTTACTTTCACCGAGAGCTTTTGAGGAATTAATGTTCCGTGTCTTATTATTGAACTTGAACAGGGACCAGAAGCGTTTGGGATTAAGTCCACGGCTGGAACAAATAGAGTCGAAATATTTGGAGCGACTGTTACGTAACATACTCTTGATGGAACTACGAAGGGTTTTGAATTTTTCCAGGAGATATTCAGTAGGTGTAGGGGATTTCTTAATTCTGAGGCGGAGGGAGTTTTTCTTCTTGATGTTGTGTAGAATTGTAGAATTCATCCACGGTACATAGTTGCGACCCTTTACTCTCACTGATGGTATGTGTTGGGATACTGCTTCTAGGAACGCCTTCTTCCATTGTTGCCAGTCGTGGTTGATATTGTCGTCGGTTGTAATCAGGGAATCCAGATTTAGACATTCAAGGGAAGTTCGCAAGCCAGCAAAATCACCTTGACGATAATTATAGACAGTTCTGCGTATCTTTGGTAGTTGATTATGACACATTGAAAGTTCAAACACAATAATTTTGTGGTCGGTGAAAAGTTCTGCTTGAGTGGGAGACAAAATTTCACATATTTTGACTTTGTTGGGAATATTGGTTAGAACGAGATCTAACGTGTTATTACCTCTAGTAGGCGCGGTGTTTAGTTGTTCCAAGAAATGGTCATGGAGCAGTTTTACGAAGGTATTTTCGTTACTACCTGATGTTTTCTCTGGCGAGTCCCATGATATACGTGGCATATTGAAATCTCCTGCAAGCACAATGTTTGAGTGTTGTGAACAAACATCACTCATAAAGTTATTGAACTTGTCCAACAAGCTATGATCTGAGTTTGGTGAACGATAACAAGAACAAATTAATAAACTTGCGTTTGAAGTGGTTGTTATTTCAGCCATGGAGATCTCCAAATCATGACCATGTTGAATTTCCCGCACTGATTTAAATGAAGAAATCTTTATCGCTAACAGTACTCCACCACCACGAGATCCGCAATCGTTCCTGAATATGTCATATCCCGAATGCAGAAATCGGCTGGAAGTATGTACTTATGCGCATTTGATGGACTCACGTACTCAAGACTGGTTCTCCGTTTTATCTCTCCTAGAAAATCTTCTTCAAGTTTACATCAGAGTAATGTCAAGATATCCAAGGTGTATTTGCGTTCAGATGAAGCTGGGTGTTATCATAGCAACTTTCTTCCAGCTTCTCTGAAAGATTTAGGTCAAAGAGTAGGCATTAAGGTCATGCGTTATGATTTTTCTGAGCCACAGCATGGCAAAGATGTATGTGACCGAATTCTTTGTCCATGAAACATGCAATACAGAAATACTGCAATGAAGGACATAACATTTTGACAGCCAGCGACATGAGGAGAGCATTACTTGAACGCCCAGTTAGTGGAACCACCGCCTCAGTAAACCGAATAGATTATTCTTCCATAACAATCAAAGTAAAGAACATTGACGGTATTAGTACGTACCATAACATTGAGTTCGAAGACACAGGCATAAGGGTGTGGAAAGCTTTTGGAATTGGTGAAGGTAGATATTTTGATAAATCCACAACTGAGTACCAATATTCAACAAGAAGAAGACTTTTCCAAGAAAGAAAGTAGGCTATGCAGTTAGGCCAGATGAGCGTCGTAATACTGAGGATGGGCTGTTTGAATGTAGTGTCGTGGGATGTGGGAAGGTTTTCCGACGTTTTGAAGATCTTGAACTTCATTTAGACGTAGGGAAGCATGGAAACACAGTCCAAAGTGAATCATTGTATGACCAGTTGAGAAGGGATTGGGCAGAAAAATTTCTGACTATTGACTGCAGAAAGAAAAGCAAGAACGCTGGTGTTGTCGAGTCAATGGGTGCAGTTTCGTCAGACCAAAATGCATGTGAGAACAGAATGGTTTGGGCACTGAGTAAGTCCAGAGCTGGGAGCATACGTTTTAGCCAAAATGTGAGAGACTACCTGACAGAAAGATTTGATTTAGGTGAAATTACAGGGATGAAGAGCAATCCGTCAGATGTGGAGAATGATATGCGAAGTGCAAGAAATGAGAGGATGGCCGGAACGAAAAGCGTTTCACTCGAGACGAGTGGCTGACAGCGTCTCAGATTAAAAATTTATTTTCTCGATTATCAGCTGCCCGGAAGAAGCACGGCAATGAAAAGGCGCTGGTCTTCATGTCTGACTTAGAAAGTTCTGAAGACGAAGATTTACTGGCAATTGCACAAGATATTTGCGATCAAGAGCTTGTTGACAGCATTCTTGAACGACTAGGTGTACAACACCTCATTGTCTATGATGTATACAATCTCTGTTATTATTTCAAGAAAGATAAACTTAATGTTTTCAGCGTTAAAATGCTGAAATCTATCTATTACACGCTTGTTTTTATCTATTTCAAAAGTATGCTAGCGAAAGCAAACATGCAGCATGCATGAAATATTGTTCTTTTTCTTTGGAAATATCAAATAGACGTGATCAAATGTCTTAAACATATGATTTAAGTTGTTTGTTCAATGTCATACTGAGATGATAATTTCTGAGTGTAGTTATAATGCCAGGTCAAATTTGCAAATATTTCATTTAAATTCAGAGCGCACCAGTTTGTTTCCCCAAAAAAGTTTTTTCATAGAATTATAGAACAATATTTTAAGTATAATTTTAAGTTTACTCTGGGTGCATAACTAGCTGGTTGCACTTTTTAAAAAAATAAAGTTGAAAGATGGTTATTTTCGCAATTTTGCCGGCACGTCGGAATTGGCGTTAGAAAAAATAAAACAAAAACCCGAATTCCTGTAATATATACAAATCATTGCCGTCAAGTTGTTGTATAGAATATAGATGTAAACTTTCGGATGACCCAAAAATAAAAATCAAATTATGTCGTACACATATCTGGAGTTCCTTTGAAAATTGATAATTTTACGTCTGAAACTGTCTAAAAATAGCCATGGCAGACACAAAATAGAAAATATAGCAAAACTTGAAAAATAAAATAAGAATGCAAAAGATGTATACATATTTATTACATACTAACAAAGGCTAATAAATGATAGAATATGAAGGGAAAATAATTTTCAACGCGAGAGTCAGTAGGTGGATCTTAAGGAGACGGCCTCTTAAGGTTTTATAGATTTAGCCAAGGGTTTTGTTACGCAGTGAGCTTGTGGTGAACTGGTGCAGGAAAAAGCTCAGCTGCTAGGGCCTGCAGCTGATCTGAGAAGTGAGAAGGCATGTTTTATATCCAGGATTGTAGTTTATGTGCTCTCTGATAGTTTGATGTGTGTATTTTTAAAGGCCATCAGCTTGTTTGCCGCATCCCTACGAGTATTAAGAATTTAAGTTAATTGTCTCTAGTTCTGCAATATTTCTGGTGTCCCTGATGTAATTATAGGGCTGTTAAAGCGACAGCCAGCCCAGTAAGCGAGATCTCACTGTGTGGTTATTTTAATATTGTTATAGTGGAAATTCCTTTCAGTTTGTATGGACAACCTGAGCAGTTTGTGAGATCTCACTTGAACAAGACAAGTCATACCGCGGTAAAAATATTTTATGGTCATATAAAACACTAACCGGACTAACTGGGTCAAAATAAAGTCAAAACAACAAAATTGGTCATGAAAATATTGTCAAAACAATAGAGATGCAGAATTTTCCAACAATGAGTCCATGCCACTGTTGTTACTGTTAATGAAATTCAGTACCAAACAACATGTTTGAAAATTAAAGATGCAAAATCTTGATTAATTTTGTATTATTTTAATTAATTAAACTTGGTCAAAGAATAATTATCAAATTAATAATTATTAAACCTAGCTGTACAATCAAGTTACATGTAATAGAGCATTATTATAACTTTGTAGCTCCATAGGCTATTCTTTGTCTGTTCCACGTTTTGATGCCTTGGCCATTTCTTGTAGTACATAACTACATATAACACATTCTCACAAAGCTATAGAGAAAAGTCATTGTAGTTCTGCCAGTTACAGTAGGTCTGGTCTGGTAAGAGCCACCACTACACCACTATTCTTGCTATATGAACATTCAAAAGAACTTGTATTAATCTCTTGTCCACATGACATACATCACCCTAAATGAGAAATGTCCATTATACTTATAAAATAGTGGTAATATCATTAGAATTAACACACTTCGAAGAAATATTGAGTCACATATCCCAGGCTCCGATTACAGGGAAATTTACTGTAGAGTAGAGCCCAACCCAACTGTTCAGTTAGACATTATTTATATGTTAACACATTGAGCGCCAGCGCTCTCCTGTTGACCAGTAAAATTGTCGGTGCTAGACAAAGTAACATAATAAACTAGGGTGCATTAGGGTGCACTGATGCAACTTAATGGGTTCATTATTATGGTATGTCAAATGGACCTTTCCCCTTATAACTAAAATTTTGATCTAGACAAAAATTTCATCACAGCTTGAAAGAGCATCACAAAATTAGTAATATTCCGAAGTCTCGTTGCGAAATGTTATAAAATGCGGATAATATAGCCTTGCGAAGTTTGCCGTTTTTCAGTCATTTTGTATTACGCACGGGAAATTGACAGCCCAATCGGGTGTTGGGGCATCAATTTCCCGTTTGTAATACAAAATTACTGAAAA